AGCAAGCCTTCGATTTCAAAACAAAACGAGATTCAAGATAATTATGAAATTTCTAACTTCTATACGTTCTCAAGGTGTGTGACCTTATTATAAATAAATTCGGTAAATACATTTTTTATGGGGGGTAATAAACAATCGCCTAATCTTTATATTATCCAAGAATTAAAATTAAGGACAGGTATGAACGTTATCTCTCAATAATTATATTCGTTTAAATATTTTTTAGGTAAGAACAATTTTTAAAGCAAATACAAGTGAATTTGTATTAATTTGTTTTAACTTCGTGACATGATGGGCATATTTCAACTAGTCTTAACATTTTCGGAGAAGATATACTTTGAAATGTTGCTTTCAAAAATATTAAAACAAATAATACTTTCCGGAGATAATTTCCGTGTTTAAACGAAGGCGATACACTTGTCAAGTTTCACTCAAACCATACAAATTGTTCAAACCAAGTACAAGATCAAGATCATGGTCAATCAATGAAGTTCTTAATTGTCCTATACCCAGAAGAAGAATAAAATACACGAAATCTATCATCACGAAAGCAACCAGCTTGGCACAGTCTAAAAATAATAAATCTTAATCTTTAATTCTGCAGAGAAATATTTAAAAGACTGCACTAAAAACGCATATTAAGATATGTTCCACAACTTTACTTGAGGAGAACTATGTATCGACAAGGGCTTGATCAGGATCTGGGAGGGTCAGGTGCTATGTAGGCCTAATATTGATCAGGATCTGGGAGGGTCAGGTGCTATGTAGGCCTAATATTGATCAGGATCTGGGAGGGTCAGGTGCTATGTAGGCCTAATATTGATCAGGATCTGGGAGGGTCAGGTGCTATGTAGGCCTAATATTAAAAGGTTAAAATTCAAGGAGTTTGTGCCTATATTTAAAATATTAAAATTCACAAACGAACAACTTTTTATTATGCACAATTCAAATCTTTATTTAAACCGATCAATGGTTGTAAAAGTCACTCTACATGTTTCAATGTGGTTTCACGTCATCTTCAGAAGTATGAAAAATAGTTACTGTGTGCAATACAAGTACAAAAACCATGGTCATGTGACTACTAGTTTACGCATCTTTTTAATGAGGCAAGTTAGCGAATAACCACATAGAAAAGAAATGGTTCCTTATATAACAATTTCTAATATAGAAAAGCTAATGCGTTTTGTTAACAATGCGTTTCAACAATGGCTTTTATGCCATGTTGCTTAGCAACAAAAGTATATAGGTTATACTTTTATGCTAAAATGAGTTCAGAATACACACACTATCAACCTAATAACCCGAGCGAAGCCGGGTACTTTATCTAGTATTAAATAAAACTGAAGATGAAATAAATCTAATGGAGAAAACGGGTATATATAAAGTTCAATGTGAATGTGGTCGTGCGTACGTTGGTCAAACTAGAAGGAACTTAAAATTTAGAATAAATTAACATAAGACATTTATGTTAAAATCTAAAGTGTAAACTCCGCATTAGCTGAACTTGTACAGTATACCTGACATATCATCCAGTGGGAAAAAAACGGTTATTTTGGCTCAACCGAATAATATGACTGCTAGAAATATTAAGGAAACTATTGAAATAATGAAACACAGAAAAAACAACTTGATCTTAAACAAGAATGAAGGATTAGAAAATCAGAAAGTATGTAGATGGTGTGACCTTCTTTTTTGAATTTTCCAGAAAGCACAAGCACGCACAGAGTGTGTTACAGAAGTTAATTGTCTCGCTCTTAAATCTCTCTCTGTGTAGACAACACACATTAATGATTTATAACACCAAAACACTGGGGGTTCTTTGACAGTCTTTGTGCCATGTTGTCCACACTGTTCATATGATTAGTACGGTAATCAGAAACAGATGAAAATTGAAAAGAATTATTGTACTGTCGTATTACAACTGCCATTTGAACCACCCACTCTATATAACATAGGGAGAGACGGAGTAAGACACAACATTAGTAGCCACAGATTTCTAATAGAATATCCTTCTTACATCCTGCTAGTTTTATAACGTAATAGTTGTAATAGTGGGAACTGTGATGGATTCTGAAATCCACAATGTTGGGCAGTTCAAACAACTTTATCTTTATAAATAATTCTGTATAGTGGGTGGGGCAACCGTATAATATCAACTACACCAAATGTATAGTAATTGTTCCCCACCCTGTATTTAGAGAGAGAGAGTTGTACATCCGTTGGCTTTCATCCGTCTTCTGTTTCACAATTTCCTGCGTTGTACGAATAAGTTGATAAATATTCATTTTATTGGCAGCTTACGTTCTAATGATCTTGCCACTTACTTTAGAACTGTGTGAAAAAGCTTAGTACTGACTGAATTTACTAGAATTCGGTTATGGCCACCCTACCGGAACTTTCGGACCGACATGGTTTGGATAAAAATAGTCGGAGATTACCCAGTCTGACAATAAAATGGAACTTAAACCAGAGACACTTGGGAGTGTATTACTTTCGAACGAAAAAATGAAATAAGTAGAACGGTAACTTTCGCCCAGAGAAATTTCCCGTTTACTTATTAAAAGTCGTTCTTCTGATTTCCAGTTCTGTAATTATGAAGATGTGTGTGTGAAAGTAGAAGGATTAGCTACCCAAATGGGAATATTTCCATAGCGAGTTTTTCCCCGGCTTAACAATTATGATCAAATTACTTCTTAATTAGCCCATTTTTTTCATAGATCGTGTACTGGTTTATGATCCTAATTATTGCTAATTATATTGAGACTTTATGGTGTTTAACCCATACTGATTTGTCAATCTTTATTTCTACATATAGCATCTGCAGTTGAAATAGCCCAACCTAAAAATGAATAATTTATACGAATGCACTAAATTTATTGTTTTATCTGACAAGAGGGATTTTTTTTTCAATCATTGCAAAATAATAAAGTCATCGCTGTGGAAACCTTTATGCATATACAGAGATTTATTTACTACTTGTTTTAAACAACTTTGGTTAGGTAAGTATCAGCTGTGTGTATTATTGTTGTTTGGTTATGAAACCTGCGGCGACAAGAACATAAAAAAAAACACCTGAAGAATTTGTGAGTGATGTTCTCAATGTGTTTTACTCCACCAGATACTTCAATATATTACAGAGGATCTAAGACAGGTGAAGAGAAATGTCTCAACCAAATAATATACAAGTTCTCTTTAACGGAATATTTCTGTCTGCATGATTTGTTGCTATAAGTTGGGAGGATGTAAATATCTCTAATTAAAGCAGTAATCAAAAGAGGAGTTAATAATTATTATTTTGCTGTTGGTCATGGCCTAGTGGCTATCATACTGGTCTGTGGACACGAAGTACTATGGTTCGCACCCCGTTGCTGCAAAATCGCGTTCTGCATTTTGACACCATGTGCGTATTATAAAAGTAACTGTCTAATCCAATGTTGGGTTAGAGTAGCCCAAAAATTGGCGGTGGGTGCTAGCAACTAGCTGTTTTCAATCTAATCTGTCAGTTCACAGTTCAGCGCAGATAGAGCCCTCTTGTAATCTTGCATGTATATCTGAAACAAATAAGTTGAACATTCTGTTGCTACAGCAGCAATGGAAAGTATGAACTGTGTGACACAGCTAAAAAAAAACAATAATGACGAATGACGTAGTTTATTTCAACAATGATTCAATGTGCTTATTGAATTTTACAATAATATTGTCATTAGATTTACTTTTTCTAAAATCATCCATTCAAAAATGTTACATTGAAGATGGGCATCTTGTATTTTTGGACTGTATTCTTTCTACTAATCAGTTCATCACCAATATAAGCAAATACGAATTATTTTTTGTTTGTTTTTTACCTTTCTAACTCGATGGTTTTCTCGCTTTCTGAATTACCTAACAGGTACATGAAATACCTATATCCGTACGAGTGTGAAAAGAAGGGATTAAGCACACCAGAGGAGCTGCAGGCAGCTATTGATGGTAACAGAAGAGAGGGTCGACGCTCCAGTTACACCCAATATGCCGAACTGGTTAGTGGTGCACGAAATTCTCACCCTCAACATCTGCAACCAAACCCAGCGCACCATACCTCTCCTCTTGATCTAGTATCAAGACAAGTCAACGGGTATGGCACAGGCCATGGACTGTCATCAGGTAGGGGGTCATTCTTGCTTATTAAAATGTGACCAAAAGACCAGAATAGTTCAACTCTTTTGTTTTGTTTGTTGTTAAGTAAAAAGTTTCATTATGGGATTTTTAGCCAACCCTCACGTTTTCATTAGGTGAGATATTTTTGTCTCATAGAATATAACAAGAGTGTGTCAACTGTAAAATAAAAGGAGAAAATAATCGTCCAACCCTTACATTTTTATCTAGTAGAAGATGTTTTTGTTTAGTCAAGTATAAAAAGAATGTGTCAGCTGTAAAATAAAAGGGGAAAATAATAGTCCAACCCTTACATTTTCATCTAGTAGAAGATATTTTTGTTCAGTGAAATAGAACCAATATCCGTCAACGGTTTTAAAGTAAATATTGCTTATATTATGATTTATTATTGCTATTGTAGTTTGCGTATTGTGATCTCTTTATAACGTAATATACTAGCAGATTAAACTGACACTTTTCGTTTACTTCACAATTTTGCCTCAGTTTTGTAGAGGCATGGCATGATCTGGTGGTTAGGGCACTCAACTCGCAACTTGCTCGCCCTTTCAGCCATATGTGTATGTGTTGGATGTTATAACGTGACGGTACATCCCACTCCCACTATTCATTGGTATAGAGTAGCTGAAGAATTGTTGGTGAATGGTGTTGACTTGCTGCCCTCTCTCTCTATTATGTCACTTCAAAACTAGGTACGGCAATAGCCCTTGAGTAGATTTGCTCGCTATTCAACAAAATAAACACAATTGTCTTCCTTGTCGATATTACCGAATGAACAATCATTGGAATATATGGGACTATTTGTGAAATGTTAGACTGTCTATATTTCAAATGAAACAAATGCAAATGCTCAACATTGAACATGAATTTATATGGCCCTAATAGGGTTAATGTAATTATGATAGTGATTTTGCATAAATACAGAACTCTCATTTATGTGATGTTTAGTATTTAACGGTTCACTGCAACATCAGCGACAGAGGGAGGAAGAGATAATCATAGTTTACAACAAAAATTGTATTGCCATTTGCAGACCATTGAACCCTAAAATTTTGCACATGTACTAAGTGGACCCTGAGGGTGTGCATCTGGGTATTATTACTTATATTATTCACGTGTGTGCCTGCGCGCGCACATGTGCGTGAGAAAAAAAAGGCCTAATAGATGAGATAAAACATGTCACTCATTAATCCGCTGAACTAGCGAAGGTAAGACCTTGTCGAGGTTGTCAAACTGTCATGTTGATTTGTAATTGAAATCAGTCTCGGTGGTGTCTAAATCAATCATAAAATAACAGGAGCGTACCAATTTGTTGACATGCGAAGCGACGCGAGTTTTGCCAGTACCACATTTTGACAGTCTCGGTGGTGTCTAAATCAATCATAAAATAACAGGAGCTTACCAATTTGTTGACATTCGAAGCGATGCGAGTTTTGCCAGTACCACATTTTGACAGTCTCGGTGGTGTCTAAATCAATCATAAAATAACAGGAGCTTACCAATTTGTTGACATGCGAAGTAACGCGAGTTTTGCCAGTACCACATTTTGACAGTCTCTGTGGTGTCTAAATCAATCATAAAATAACAGGAGCTTACCAATTTGTTGACATTCGAAGCGATGCGAGTTTTGCCAGTACCACATTTTGACAGTCTCTGTGGTGTCTAAATCAATCATAAAATAACAGGAGCTTACCAATTTGTTGACATTCGAAGC